ACACTAATTTCAGTCTCACGTGTAATAAGTAACACCTGTACAGAAATTTACCACTTCTAGGAAGATTTATTGAGTGGCCACGTCCTGCGGACAGTTAGAGCTCCAGGTCTGAAATTCACAGCAGAGGTCAGGGCTGGAGGTTTCCATTAGGAGGCTTTTCCCAGGAGCCATCCCGAAGGCCCTGCAGGCAGCCAGGCCTGATCTCTAAGGCTACACCTTGTGGAAAAGAGGAATTCAGGGGTGGAAGGAGCAAGCGGAGGATGGACAGAAAAAGAACATGCAAGAAAGAAGAAGAACCAGGAGAAGGCAGAGAGCTAGAAGCCCGGGGAGGATCAAGTTTTGAGATTTACATTTTTCAACTCTAAGTGTCAGGCCCTGGACAAGGCCCTGGGGACATAAGGGAAACCAACCCGCCCTATTCCCGCCCTTGGGAAGCTTATGTTCTACTGGGAGCAGAGAGACAAGATAGAAGAGGAGAGGACAGGAGGGGACGGCGATAGAAAGTGACAAACTTCCATGTGACAGAGAGTAACATGCAGGAGATGGCATCTGGACATCAGTGGGTTTTTCTCCCCTTCCCGGTCCTAGCAATACTCAGAATTTTTCAGCAGCTGGTCCCATCCCCAACACCCCCCATCTCAGAAGGTGGGCTCTGATTACCTTAAGCTCCTGGCCCTAGTGATTGGCTCAGAGATGGGCACATGGCCCAGGGTAGGCTGCTCTAAGAGACTCTATTCCTGGACTTGAGTTTGAAATTTCCAAGAAACAGATTCTCCCTGTGCTACATTTGCACCAAGAAGAGGGAGTCTTGGGAGCTCCTGGAGCCATCTTGGTACCATGAGGGTTGCTCCTGCCTCCTCGGCCTGGGAGATGGAGCCCTGAAGAGCAAGAGAGGAGTGGGGTCCTGGCTCAGTGTGGAGCCTGGATTAAGTCTCACCTGACCTGGACACAGACTGTCCAGTTATTGGAGCCAATCAACGCCCTTTTCTGCTAAAGGCCATTAGAGTTGAGGTTTGTTTACTTGCAACATCCAGGCAGAGGGAGAGCCGAGCGCAGAGGCCCAGCCTCAAAGCAGGACTCGCATGTTTGAGGACAGAACCTGAGCAAGAGCCCAGAGGCGGGGAGGGCGCATGAGGTAAGGCCAGTGAGGCCGTGTACTAATAGCTAACCTGCCCAGCTGTCCTCCTGCGCCAGGCATTGTTCTGAGATGTTTACGCGCATAATTTCACTTACTCCTCACCAGGACCCTGTGAGGTAAGTGGTGTTATTATCCCCATTTGATAGAGAAGCAAACCAAAGCACAAGAGGCTAAGTTAACTGGCCCGTGGTCAGACGAACGGGAAAGGGGCGGCTGGGACTCCATCCCAGGCAGGCCGACTCCGGGGCCTGGCTGCCCAGGCCAGATCCACGCTGGGCCTTCTACAGGGTCAGACGGGCCAGTGGGGTCAAAGGGCATTGAGAGGTGAGGGGATGAAGACTGAGAAGACACTGGATTTGATGATTGAGGGTCATCAGTGGCCCTCAGGGCGGCGTTTCAGGGAGGGTGGAGTGGAAGCCAATCGGCAAGGTGTGAATGGGAGCCAGGTATCCAATTGTTCTAACACCATTTTTTGAAAAGACCATCCTTTCTCCACTGAATTGCCTTTGCATCTTTGTTAAAAATCAGTTGTCCATATGTGCAACTATGACACATAACTATCTACTGGGGCTTTGGGGGAAAAAAAAAAGGAGGAGGATTGGCAATAGATGTTAGCTCAGACCCAGTCTTCCTCAGCAAAGAAAAGAGGAGGATTAGCATGGATGTTAGCTCAGGGCTGATCTTCCTCACACACACACACACACACACAATCAGTTGTCCATAATTGTGTGGGTCTATTTCTGGCTATCTTTACACCAACGTCTATCTTTTTTTTTTTTTTTTTTTTTTGTGAGGAAGATCAGCCCTGAGCTAACATCCATGCTAATCCTCCTCTTTTTGCTGAGGAAGACTGGCTCTGAGCTAACATCTATTGCCAATCCTCCTCCTTTTTTTCCCCCAAAGCCCCAGTAGATAGTTGTATGTCATAGTTGCATATCCTTCTAGTTGCTGTATGTGGGACACGGCCTCAGCATGGCTGGAGAAGCCGTGCGTCGGTGCGCGCCCAGGATCCGAACCTGGGCCGCCAGTAGCGGAGCGCGCGCACTTAACCGCTAAGCCATGGGGCCGGCCCCCAATGTCTATCTTTACACCAGTGCCACACTGTATTGACTACTGTAACTGTCCTTTCAAATAGATTATCTCTCATCTCCTCTGAAACGCCAATGGTTTTTATGTGTGGGACCACCAGGTCGTCTCAAGGTTCCAGGCCAGTCCTTTTCCACCTTTTCTTTCTATTTTTTATTGTAAACTTACAGAAACTTGTACATATTCTGGCCCTACCAGTTGGCTATAGTCACTCAAGTCATCTCATTTTCTTAAAGCAAGACTCCCAGGTGTCTCCCCAGCCCCCAGCCATCACTCTTCTGCGTGAAAACCACACTGCGCATTCACAGAAAGCTGCACTCCTTGGCTGCACTCCAGGTCCTTCATGGGCTGCCCTCAGCCCACCCTGACCACCGGGTTTCCCTCCCCCACCTCACCCAACCCTCCAGCCCAGCTCCTTCCAACCCCGGCACACCCCACCTGACTCTGAGCCTCCAAAGGAAAGGACCCAGGCCTCAGGCCTTAGTGATCTTTTACTCCTCCCTGGTGCCTGGCAAACCACAAACAAGTGAACATCATCAGCACACAGCCAGACAGAGCCGAGGGGACGAGAGTCCGGGAAGAGGCTACATCCGGGGGTGTCCCTGGAGGCTGAGCTCCCCGATGTGAAAGGAGGAGCCCAAGACAAACTTGCACCACCTTACGGAGCCTGAGCTCATCACCAAGACCTGTGCCCGGCCCCTTCTGCAGCGGTGGACCAACCAGGTGGGTGGGAAAGGAGGGTGGAGTGGAGGCAAGAAGGTCAGACAGACTGTGGAATCTGATCTGTCCCACACCCCAGGTTTGGGACTGGGGCTCACGCAGTTTGCACTTTCGTAGGCACTTGGGACAATTCCGTGGGGAGCTCTAGGCTGTCTCCATAAGGCTCCAGAAACTTTTTTTCTCTCCATCCCAAGCCTATCCTTGGTAGGGACTTCCCCGGATGGTGGGAGGCCTGGCCTGGGCCACTGTGGGTTCAGGGAAGTGGAGGGTCCTGGTTCTGGTGATGGCCGGGGACACACAGAATGACTTCCTGCCGGTCAAGGAGCACAGCCCTGCAGCTGACCCCTGGGCCGGGGAAGCTCGGAAGGTGCAAGCCCGCCCCCCAGTGGCCACATATCACAACTGCAGCCCAACAACCCAGTCTCCACCTCCCCAGGCCTCCAGGCAAAGCGGTGCCTGGGCAGCACTGGCCAGGTTGGGCCTGGCAGCCATGATCACCTGGTTCTGAAGGCCTCACGTGCCCAGGTGAAAGGGAGGTGCCGGCTCTACATGAGCAAAGAAGCACCGAAGTGTTACACACACGCACACATGCAGACAAACCTCTGCCCTTTATTCTGGTTTTAGAACTAAGGATACTTGTTCAGTGAGGTCAAATAACCCACTCAGGGCCATTTAGCTTGTGAGCATCAGTCCCAGGCCAAGTCACATCCACCTGATGCTAGGTTTCCACTGCCATAAAACGAGACAATTGGACTCTGCTGTGGCTGCTAACTGCCACTGCCCATCAGTTACCCGAGGAGCTTTACAAATACATATCCACAACCCTGACCCAGACCTACTGGGTGGAGGGTGGGAATGTCTTCAGCATGCCTCCCCGGCAAGACAAAGTGTGTCTCTGTACTAACAGCTGGGAACCAGAGGGCAGCAGTGTCATCTCGGAGCTCAGGGACATGTTTAATTCATTTTTGAGTTCCCTAGTACTGACTCATAAAGGTGATCAACATTATTTTTGAAGTGAATAAATGAATGAGTGCATGCATCAGTGATTCTGAGGTCCCCTCCAGCTTTGACAGCCCATAAATGTGACTCTTGCACATGAACACTGTGTTCTACACACATGCAGTCACACACACAGACATGGATATACACACTCTGCACACTTGCTTCGTTGGTCTGTATTTATTGTGCACCCATTGGGTGCATGGCCCAGCCCCAGGCCCTGGTCAGATACCCCTCACAGCCCTCAAGGGCCGGCCCCACTCGGTCGAGTTCCAGGGCCCAGGGCTGGTTACAAGCATGGACGGGAGGAGGGGGCCCAGCAGGAAGGCTGGAGAGGCAGTGCGTCAGCCAGCAGGCAGCAGGCGGGCAGCAGAGAGGCCCCTCTTGGCGGGCAGCCTACTGGCACACTTGGCTGAACAGAGACAATGGTGGCTGCTCCCCCAGCCCAGCCTCCTTCCCACAGGCAGAGCCTCAAGTCCGTGAGTGTCCGGAACCTCCCCCAGAGAACCAGCCCAGCTGGGAGGCAGCCAGAAGACAGCAAGGGGGACTTCCCATGGAGGGCAGCAAAGCCCCCTCTGAGCTGGCCAGGGGAGGGAAGGGGTCTTGGCACCCCTTGGGAATGGAGGGTGTGGAGGGAAGCCAGGCCTCCACCACGACCCTCACAACTCTCCTCAGCCATGGCTCTTGCCAAGAGAGCCCCGAAGGGGATCCATCACCACCTCTTACTTCTCGGCTCTCTGGGGGTCGAACCTGGAGAACCCCCTTCTCTGCCTGGGGGTTCTCAGAGAGAACAAGGGCCCCTTGTTCCCAGGGCTCTCCACAGAGCTCTGGAGGCCCCCACCCCCTTTCGGCCCTCACTGACCGCCACTGGCTCTGCTCTGTTGATTAGCAATTGGGCGTGTAAGGCGGGGCCTCTCTCATTTGCCCCTGGTGCACGGATGACTGTAGGGGAAAAGGAGACAAAGGCACGGGCCCCAGAGTCAGCCTCACTGAGCCCTTGAAGCCTGCCGAGTCCGAGTCCCTGCCCCTGCCCCTGCCCCTGCCCCTGCCCCTGCCCCTGCCCCTGCCCAGAAGGCTGTCCACTCAGTGGGCCGGGCCTGAGCAACCCTGCTCCCTCAGTCCCATGAGGCTGCTTGGGGTCTCCGAGGACCTCACCCAGCAGGTCACCTGATGCCCAGAGCAAGCCCATCCTCAGGGCTGAGGGTCCCCTAGCTTGACTGTCCACAGGGCTCTGCTGCCCCAGGCTCTCTCCTGGGAGCCCAGGGCCCACATGTGCTCTGGTTCTCAAACAAGCGCTGAGCTGCCCCCAGGTCCAGGAAACGTAGCCACGCTGGATCTGGAGGGGTGGAGAGTGACATCGGACAAACTCTGGGAGTGGAGCCAAATCCTTGACCTCCCTGCTCCCTCAGGAGCGGCCAGGGACTGCCATGGGGGCGGGCACTGCAGTATTAGGAAAGTTCCAGTGAGCGAGCGAGGGAGGGAATGAGGACCACAGGGGAATGGAGGTTGTCCTTCAGCAGGGAAGGGGGGGCCTCATCCCCCATCACGGACCCACTGAGAAGAGGCTCCTCCGCAGGTTTTCATCTCAGGTCCACCCCACAGCATGGGGCCAGAGGCTGTGAGGTGGCACCGGCTTCACAGCAGATTGCGATTCCGCTTGGGGATGATCTTCCGGTAGGTTCTGCGCTCTGAGATGTTGCGCTTCACCTTGGCCGTGGTGGGGGCCTCGTCATGGTGCAGGGATGGGCTCGAGTGGGACTTCTTCAGGCTGGGCTTGGGCTCCAAGGCGCCTCCAGCTTCCCTCCCCAGCTGCTCCTCCCACAGGTCCAGGTCATCTGAGGGGCAGTGCAGCCGGGCCACCAGCAGCTGCACGTATGTCTCGTAGCGGGTTTTCTGCAACACACAGGCCCCACCACCTTAGCACCACCCCGGCTCCAGGCTGAGACAAGGCTGCAATCGTGAGAGACGGACAGCTCACATGTGTATGAAGCTGTGGCCATAAAGACTTCTGCAGAAAGAGGGCCAGACCAACAGCTAGCATCCATATTGTCCTTGAGCACGCAGACTTTGCAGAAGACAGCAGTAACGTATTAGAACCCTGCAGTTATCTAGGTAGGATTATAATAACACCTACCAGCCCAGCCCTGTTCTAACAGCCAACACCTTGTAATGCTGTAACCAACATCTCTAGAACATGCTACATCTCCAAGACACTAAAAGATCTGGAATCCACTAGGCCTGAGATCTGTGTAGCACTGCACACAAACAGCCCACATCTGCATGGAACCCTAATTGGGTGTGAACAGCATTTTAACAATTGGCATCTGGAGAGCGTGATACTAACTACCCTCATCTGTTTAACACTTCTAAGGCCTCTGTAACTAGCATCCTTCGGACACAGTTCCCAGCTTACTGCTTTCCTACCCTCCATCCCCCTGGATCCTCCTCCAGCCCCGGGAGGTTGGGTGGTACATGAATCATTATCGTCTCTGCTTCAAAAAGAGGGATGTGAGAACTAGGGAGGGGCAGCGGCTTGCTAAAGGTCCCAGCTAGTCAGTGGCAGAGAGAGGGTGGAATTCTGCAGACAGAGCTGGGTCCTGTCGGCCACACCCAGGGCCTCTGGGAAGACGCACACTCACTACCATGGACGCAGCCAACAATAACAGGGATGGGCCAGAAAGGGAGAGAGGGCAGCTCAGGGCCCAGGGGCACAGCTAGGAGGTGACGACGAGGCTACCTTCTCTGGTCTCCACCTCTGATGGCCTCTGACCCCCTCTGTTCTCACACTGCCCCTCACCTACCCTCCTGCTTAGAGTCCCAGAATGTGCATTGACGTGAGGCCAAAGCAGAATTTGGGGTGTGGGGTGAGGGATTAGGGGATAAAACATTTCGGCCTCCATCATAGAGCTCATAAAGTTCACTCCTTAGTTAAGACCATAAATGAGGCACGTACATGATGGGAGGAGCAGGTAAATTTACGAGGTTTGAACAAGTTGTTTAATCTCTCCGTGCCTTGGCTTCCTCATCTATAACATGAGGCTAACAGTCCCCACCCCACAGTTGTTACAGAATTAAATAAGATAACCCATGCAAGTCATCCAAGTGCCATAAATGTTGCTTATTATGATTAGGTACGGATTAGGGACAATAATTCAGCTAAAATATGGTTTTTCCTTCAACTTAGGAAAAGCCAAATAGACTACTCCTAGGAGAAAAAGAAATTATAAAAAATAACGTCCCTAAGTGTTTCCAGACAAGCAGCTGCTCGGTGCCCCCAGGACAAGAGGTGAAGGGGCGTGAGTGCCCCCGGACACACACTTCGTGCACACGCGTGTACAGACAGCGCACACAAGGGCCGGCCCCGCCCTGAGCAGCGAGGGGAGCGACGGCTGCAGGGATGAGAGCGGCCACGAGAGGGCGGCAGAGGGCCCGCCGAGGCGGCGGGCGGAGAGACGGCGCCTCACCTCGTACTCCAGGTACTCCTTCCGCAGGCGGTAGTCCTCCAGTTCTCGGCCTCGGCCCCGCCGCTCCGGTAAGTTCCTCTGCAGATCCAGCAGGTCGTCGGAGGCAGCGTCCAGGCAGTTCTCGTGGGAACGATGCTGCTCCTCCTGGGAGCGGGAGGCGGTGGGGAGAGCTGTCCCAAGCTCCCTCCTCCTTCCCGGGCCCCGGGGCGCAGCCCACGCCCCCTACTCCGTTCCGGGGTCCAGGTGCGCAGCACCCCCGTGCCGTCGCTAGGCCAGGTGCGCAGCCCTGCTCCCTGCTCCTGCACCCAGGTGCACAGCCCCGCCCTCTCGTCTCCCCCCGGTCCTCGGGTCCCGGTGCGCCCGCCTCCCCCGCTGCACCGCGCCCCTGCGCGTACCAGGGAGCTCTGGGCGGGGCCCACCGGCAGGATGGGCCGCACGAATCTGCGCTGGGAGCCCACCGCGGCGGGGAAGGGCGGCGCCGAGTGCGTGGCTGCAGCCAGGTTGATGAGCGCGATCCAGGAACTCATCTCTTTGGCAGTGCTGCGGGCAGAGGAGGCCACACAGTCCGTCAGGTCATCTACCCCGCTCCCAACCTCATGTGGTCTGCATAGCCTTCCAGCTGCTCGGGACTCAGAGCCTCGAAAGGCCAGAAGCCCGGCTACCAGCGGAGGTGGGTGACCTCTGCTGGTGGTTTTGCTCATCGGTCAGAGGAACATCTGGGAAGGCAAGAGATTTTACATCAAATGTCGAAAAATGCTCAATTGTCGGTGACTTCTTGGAATCCTCTGAGCAGAACTGGAAGGCTCAATCTGGACTTACGAGGAAGAGGCTGATGCATTGGCAAAGTGGGCCGAGGGCAGGGGAGGGAAGCAGGAAGCACCCGTGAGTGCAGCCTGGGACCCCTTCCAGCTGCATCAGTCTGAGGTTTCCTGGTCAAGAAGGCAGCTCCCACCAGGGCCCGGGGCCAGCAGCCATCAGAGGGTAAGCAGGGGGTCGGGGAGAGGAAAGCCGCGGCCTTGCTGCTTGTCTGCTACCCCGGGGACTTACGGTGCCTGGAAGAGGTAGAGTCGCCAGTCAGCAGTCCGCAGCTGGAAGACGTGTGGCTTCTTGGTGTAATGGGTGGCCGGGCTGGCCAGCGAGTGGTGCACCCCCACGGGCTCGTCCACCATCTGCCCCACCAAACTCTCCCCCTCAGAACCATGGTCCTCTCCCTGCCACAGGGCACAGGGGCTCAGAAAAGAGGTTTTCATCAGTTGCCCGCCCTCCCAACCGTTCGGGCCCCCCCTTCCTACCTTCAGGAAGTAGAGGACCATCCCTCGCAGCAAAGTGTGGAACATCTTCCAGCCGCGCTTCCCCCACGGTGCTGCTCCAGGAGCAGAAGATGGAAGTGGGCGGTGGCACCCCCATCCCGACACACTCCGACACACAGCCCCTCTCTCCCCGCCCCTCGCACCAACTCCAGTCCCTCCCCAGGGTTCACATAAACACACAGAAGCATACCAACACATATACTAACAAACAAGCATGCACCTGGTCTCACACACAGGCAGCCATGCTTGTGTTCAAGAGAAAACCACAAGCCCAAAATGGCGTCCCTCGAGCTAAAGCCCATAATACCAAACCTAGATTTAATACCTAACCTAACTGCAGTTTCAACCTCTCCTGGAAATGTAAATCTTAATAAACCAGTCTGGAATTTTCCCTGGCCATCCCGCACCAATGAGGTAATCTGTCACTTGGGGCCTCTCCATCCCCCAGAGAAAGAGGCAATCTACATGATAAAACCCTTGAGGTCCCTTCACCCCCAAAACAGATGACATCCTGGCCTAAAAATAATCCTTTCTTTTGTTTTGCTAACAGCTCCCTTGCCCCACCCTTCTTCCTATAAACACCTTCCATTTTGTACAACCCCTCGGAGTATCTCTCTGCTTGCTAGATGGATCGCCTAATAAACCCAATTAGATCTTCAGATGTACTCCGTCGGATTTTGTTTTTTAACACTTGGAAACCAAAACAGAGAACTTTTTTCTACACACAAGTGTGGATGTTCACCCTCACCCTTCCCTCTCCACACACACCCCTCCACAAGCACGGCTCCACTCAGACACCCTTCTGGTCCCTCCAAGCTGATCTCAACTTTGTGAGCCCATCCTGAGAGGCACAGGGGCGTAGGTCCTTGGGCAGACGGCCTGCTTCTCTGGAGTCACCTCCCGGCCTTGCTCACGCCTTGTGGCGTCTCACAGCCAAATGCTAGTTCCCTGGGCTGTCACCGCACCCTGTCCAAGCTCAGACTCCATACGGCTCTGGCCATGTCGCTGTCCTGCTCTAAAGCCTTGGGCTGTCTGCGGAACAGGCTCAAATGCATCTCCCATCATTCTCTTTCACACACCTGTGTTTGGAGCAAACTATGCCCTCTCCTTTCTCGAGTGGGGGATGTCCTCTGCCCAGCTTCAAATACCCAGACCCTCTTCCTCCAAGGTTCAGCTCAGATACCATCCTCTCCCAGGAGCCTTAATTATCCCTGTCCCTACATCCCACCCCCAAAACAAAAGCTAAACCCTGGCCCTCTTCCACACCCCATACTTGCTCTAGCCCCCACTACACCCCTCAGCTCTTCATGCTTCTTAACCATCCATGTGCGTGTCTGATTTCCACCTCACCATGGTCTCTAGGGTGGGGAACACCTAGGTCTGTTTTGTCTCTGCACCCTCGCCCCTGGCACCTTACAGAGCACGGGGCACACAGTCACCATCAAGGAGGGAACATGGGCCCCCGTCCCCCACTGTGCCATCTCTGCAGACCCGTGCACACGTCAACACGTGACCCTGAGCAGAGCCGCTCCGCACACCCCTCTGTTCACTGGCAGACAGATGCCCCCCACCGAGCAGGGCGGCAGACACTCACTCTTCTTGCCATCGGCATCGTGATGCATCTTCCGAGCCAGGATGCCCTGTTTGTAAGTGGGCACCGTGGGGTCCTGGGCCAGCTGGAGGAAGGGGTTGCTCGATTTGCCAGCGTGGGGAGACGGCCGGGCCTTCTCGGGAACAGCTGTATCTTCCTCATCCCTGGACATCGGAGAATCAGGCTGGGGTGCTGACCCAGCAAAGGCCACCAGGAAGCTCCCACTCCTTCCAGGGCCTCAGCACCCCCCACTCTCTCTCTTGCTGGGGAGCCATACCGCTGGACCCCCCCAAAAGGAGTCCTCCTTCAAAGCCAACCCATCAGTTCCTGCCATCCCTACTACCCCCTGCCTCTGGCTCCTCTGAGTGTTACCAGGGCCTCTCCACCCACTCTAGACTGGCCCAGGGCCCTGCCTCGGGCTCCACCCAACTCAGAGAGAGCACTATCCAGGGCCCTGAACTTCTCCAACTCTCAGGTGGGCAGGTGGAGGAAGGACAGAGCCAGAGGCAGGGGAGAGGGGCAGTGAGGGGCCGGGGGTCAGGTGGGCGGCTCTCACTTACACGGCCCACTCGAGCTTCTCACTTCGGATAGACCAGTAGAGGGCCTGGAACGGAAGCACACGGCTGAGCAGGGTAGCCTCGGGGCCCAAGCTGTATCTGGCAGAGGTAGGACAGGGGCATGCCGCAGCCTGCCCCTTCCACCCCACACAGCTGCCCTTCTTCCTGAAGCGGGAAGCAGCTCATCCATCCATGCACGCATTCATGCATGCAACAGTTCATGGAGCATTTCCCATGAGCCGGGCACTGTGCTGGCTGCTGGGGACACCAGGATGATCAAAGCAATCCTAGTCCCCACCTGAGCTTAGTGAGGCCTGAACTAGTTCTCTGGAGGGGGAAATGAATCACCCACATACCATCCTGCCGGGAGGCGTGTGACAGGGCAGGGTCGGCTGACTGACGGGGCCATGGACATATGGTGAATGAATAAATGAGGTGCTGTCACTCTGAAATGGTATACACAAGAGTGTTCGTGTGGATGCATCTCGCTTGCTTCTGTAGCCCTGCAGTGCCCGGCAAGATGCGTGGCACGTGGCTAGTGTTCAGTAAACTGACCCGAAATAGACAAAGGAACTAATGCTGGAACCGCCTATGAAAAGCGTGCCGGGGGCCAGACACTGTGCTAATGAGCACTTGAGAAACTTGACTTCATCGTGATAACAACCCTGCAAAGTGGCCACCCCCAGGAGGAACTCGAGTTGGCCAAGGGCTGAGTTGCCCAAGACTAGACTTCAAGCCCTGGACGCCCGCTCCTAAGTCCCAGCTCCAGGCTTACACCGCCTAAAGCCCTCTGTTTGCTCAGAGAACCAAAAGCCAGTGCTTCTCACACTCCACAGGCCTAAGAACCACCTGGAAGCTTAATAAAACATTGTGGGGGCCCCAGACCCCGGGATTCTGACTCAGTAGATCCAGGGCGGATGGCCTGTGAATTTGCACAAAATGACCAATTCCAAGGTGTTGCTGCTGCAGCGGGCCGGGGCCACACTGTTAGTACCTTCAGTGATCAAGCCCTGTCCCTCCAGGAGACATCGGCAGAGGCCGGCCCCAGCTCAGCACCCAGGAGCACCAAGGAACCAAAGTTCCAGGGCCCGCAGAGGAGTAGCCCCTGCGCCATACCTTCAGCAGCTCCTTGGGGAAGTTCCCGCCGTCCCGCAGGCCATTCAGGTTGGTTACGAATTCCTGGCAGCTCATGCTCTTCCCAATGTTCTGTGGCCATGGAGAGAAGTGGGACAGCTGGCACATACTGCCCCCCTCCCAGTAAAGGAACCCCCCAGCCAGCCACTCCGGAACCTTCTCCAGTTTCCCAGGCCCACATCCTCCAGGGCCCTTCCCTCCCAGGCCTCTGGTCTCAACTCCCCACTTCCTGCCCCCCACCCTGGCCCCCGCCTCAGATCCCACAGGCACTCTTTCTACCTCTCACCTGTCCGTGCAGGTCGGTGTTAAGGAGCATGATGGCACAGGTCAAGGTGTGTACAGAATCTGCCCCGGAGAGAGGCGAGTGGAGAGAAAGCTTGTTGGAACCGGGACTTCTGCGTGTGCTCTGCCCACACTGGGTGGGGTGACCCCCAAATGCTTCTGGTTCTCCACAGCCCCCCAAACACACTCCCACCAGCCATCACCCAGTGAACTCACAAGCAGACGCAGGGACAGCTCCATGCCACCCTTCTCCTGGGCACCCCAAAGTCCCCCTTCCCGGCCCTCAGGGCCAGCCCTCCCTACCTACTGAGGAGAAGACCCCAGGATTGCAGTGATGGAAGCGTTTGGAGAACTGGTAGAGGATTCGCTCCCGCTCCTGCGTCTCCCCACTGAGCACCAGGGCCTGGAGGAAGCCCCTGGACGGAGGGCCAGAGTCAAGGTCAGAGCCCAAGCTGGGGTGGCCAGAGACCACAGCACTTGGGGCCAGATTCCACCCTCAGCTGCTGCCCCCGGCCATCCCTCCTCCCCCGAGAGAGGGCCCGAAGGCATTACCGGAGGGCACGGTCCAGGCTCTGGCCTCCAAACTGGAAAAAGGACAGGTACTCCTCGGCCACAGCCCTGCTGAAGTCATTGCTGCGGAGGAGAAGCGGGGATGGAGCCTGCACTGGGGTCTGGGGTGGGGGCTGCAGACATGCTGGGGCCTGAGAGGGGCGGGGCCGAGCAGGGAAAGGCACAGCCAGGCTGGACCCTAGGTCCCAGGAGGGCAGGAGGGCAGCCAGGGTCTGGTGTGCCACTGGCACCCACCCAGTGTTGAGTGGGAGGGACACATGGAGCTGGGGCAGGGGGAGGCAAGGTGGCTGGTCCAGTGGGTCTACGCAGGCATCCAGGGTATGGAGAAGGGGTGACAGCAGTGTGACTGGAGGAAGAGGCAGGCCTGGCACAGGTACAAGGGAGGGGGAGGGCCTGGGACAGGAGTGATGGATGACAGGTCAGCATTGGAGCTGGAGGGACACAGGGACGGGAGGGGCAGCAAGTGCAGGGAGCCCCGTGCTGCCTCAACCTCGAGGCTCGCTCAGGCTCAAAGCCCCTCACTTCTTCCGCAGGTAGGCAGCCACTTCAGACTTCCGGAAGCCCTCCAGGTGATAGAGGCGAGAGGCCAAGTTCCAGGCCACCTTGTCGGTCCTGACGCCGTTAGCCAGCTTATCTCCAGCCTGAGGCCTGTGGCCTTCCTCTGAGCACTGCGCTTGGAGCATGGGGCTCTCAGGAAGCCTGTAAAAGTCCATCAGTGTCCTCAGACTCCCACTTGGAATGGACACAAAGGGGTTCTAGGTCAAGCCGTGGAGGGGGCCCTCAGAGTCCACGCCCAGAGCTCAGGGGAGCACTGAAGTCCAGGACCTTGAGTTGTCAGGGTGGAGCTGGACCAGGGCCTCACCAGGGAAGAGGCAGGATCACAGCCTGCCTGGCCTGGCCTGGGCTGGACACCAGGAGAACCCAGAGAGGGTGGTATTCACCTAGGGCTGGCAAGGGTTGGAGCAAAGTTTGGTACCCAGCACTTTCTCAGGTCAACCACAGGGATGTTCTGGGCCTGGTTCACCTCAGGTGGCAGGTGCAGCCCTTTGAAGACCCCAAGTGTTTAGTCCAACCCAAGACGGGGTGGGCTTCTCTCCCTCACCTGTCCTTCCATCCTCATAATGCCTACTTGCCTCCCTTCCCCACCCTCCAGCTCCAGCTCTAGCCTCCACTCTGGAGCCAAGAAAGGTGCAAGGATGAGGCAAGAACAGGAAGCTAGACTGGCTTTCAGAATGGCGACAGCCGGGGGAGTCAGAGGGGGTTTCCAGTCTCTCCCTTCTCATGCTGAAGCTCTGTGGTCGAGAGAGGCCTTACCGCAGGAGACTGGTTGGTGACTATTATGAGTGTGCACAGGCCCAGGCAACCCCACAGACTCAGAGAACACTCAGAGTCTGACTCTCAGAATCTCAGAAGTCACCCAGTCCAATCTCCACCTGACTCCTCCGTTCCCATGTGACATTACAACCAGGTATGGGGGTATCCTCCTTATCTGAATATTCATCATCCAAGGTACCACAGTTAGGGAGTTGTACAGGTAAGCAAAACTCATCATAATATGGAAATGCTCACTGATAGATAAACTGCCCACTTATGAAATTAGCCTTCACTCAACAGCCCTCTCCACTAACACGAATGTCCACCTCTGCTCCCTGACTGGGTCAGTGTCTTTGCGGGAACTGGTTCCTGAGGCTCATGCACGTCCAAAGACACAGGGCAAACACAGTGGAAACCAGCTGAAAAGTGAAATTACAAATCTTGCAAGAGAACCCCCTAGGATTTCATGAAGTCTGTGAAAGTGATTGCTGAAGACTCCAGGAATCACATGGAAAGCCCCTGGCAAATGAGGAACTGGAGAGTCAGTCCAGTGGGTAACTGAAGAGGAGAAAAGCAACATGACACAACTGTCACATCCAAAGAGAACTATTAGGATAACTGGCTGATGAAGCCCTAAAATACTTTTATAGAAATGACCTAGTCGGGTCCGGCCCGGTGGCGCAAGCAGTTAAGTGCGTGTGCTCCGCTGCAGTGGCCCGGGGTTCGCCGGTTCGGATCCCGGGCGAGCACCAACGCACCACTTGTTAAGCCATGCTGTGGCAGCATCCCATATAAAGTAGAGGAAGATGGGCACGGATGTTAGTTCAGGGCCAGTCTTCCTCAGCAAAAAAGAGGAGGATTGGCATTGGATGTTAGCTCAGGGCTGGTGTTCCTCACAAAAAAAAAAAAAAAAAAAAGAAATGACCTAGTGAATTAGTGTTGTTACTAAAATAATATCTAGATGGGGAGGCACTTTGGGGGGGAAAAAACCATTATGCAAATATAAATTGTCATAGAATTGTATACTTTAAGTGAGTGAATTGTATGGTATGTGAATTATATCTCAATAAAGCTGTTATTAAAATAAAATAATAAATAAATAAATAAAATGAAAATGACCTTTATGACCTCACCGTGAAAGTCAGGCATGAATGAAAGACATCTCACTGGGCTAGCAAACTTATGCCAGGAAAATGAAACCTCCTGTATTGTGGTAAATATAAGATTAAATAAACTTATTTAAATAATAGTGTCATTTACCAAGAAAAGCCCCAATTAAAACCTTTTTTCATTATGTACTATGAAAGTATGGTTCTCATTTTAGGTGGATTTACTTACTTTTATTTTAGGTTGAAATAATTTTAATTTTTGGTAGAATGAACCCTCTCTTTAGATACTAAGAGACTCCTCTGATCATCAAGCCTCTGAACATCTCCAGGGACAGCATAAGGAAGATGCTTGTTTGGTTTCTGGCACTGACTGAGGTTCTGTTGCCATCACCTGATGACACTGAGATGGGAATGGGGCTAACCCTCCAGTCCATGACCTGAACCATCGCTGGTTCCTCCCAGTCTCTTCAATCTGATCCCTTTCAGCCAGAGAACAAAACCTCTTTCCCTTGTAGAGATCCCAGGGGCTGACAGTCTTCATGCAGCATCCTGGGGCAGGTAGACATCTCGGTTGGTTTCCCAGTTGGCCTATTCCTACCTCTGGTCATGGTTCTGGGGTTACTCAGTCCTGCTGTGGGCTCCAAGATCCACTCCCTTGGTCCCAATCAAACCTCTCTCTGGTGCTCCAGCTTCCCCTGAGATCTGAGCCAGCACCCTGGGCCTAGGCTCTGAGATGAATTTCTCCCAGATACCTCCTCAAATTCAAAACGGCATGTAATCCCCACATCACAAGCTCTGACCTTCCCACTCCCCAAACCTGCCAGGCATGGCTCCCTTTTTTCTGGGCACATGGTGCTGGTCAGGTTCCCTGAACACCCCCCTCCTCCTCTCCTGGTGTCCAGCCTTGGACACGTCCTCAGGCCCTGCCTCAGCACAGTTAAATCCTGCCCCACGTCTATGACTGTCTGCTCTTTGCTTTCAAACCCTCTCATCTTTCTCAAAACCCTGTTGGTGCCCAGTCATATAATCCTGGATTAATAGATACCAGTATGTTAAATCCCAGTGTGCATTTTTCACGCTCCATCCAGACCAGGGTATTCTCAAACACATCCATAATTAGGAGCCGGAGAGCCGGTGAGTCTAACACTTACCCTTGTGCAGAAGTCAAGTGAAGGTCAGGCTGGACGGCTCCAGCCTCTGAGGTCCTCGCTGGGCCTTCACTCTTTATTTCCTTCCCTGGGTTTGGGGCCTCTCTTGCCTCCTCTTTCTCCAGGGAACTTGGCTCTGCCCCATCTGTCTCCACAAGTGACGAGCAGGAAGCATCTAGTGTCCACTTGGGAAAAGTGCTGCTCGAGTGGCGGCCCCGGAGCTGTGGGCTGCCTTCCTGGGAAGACACAGCGCTGGGCCTGGGGCTGCGGCCTCCACTCTCAGGCTCAGGGCTGCCAGGCTCTGGCGAAGAGGCTGGGCTCCCCCAGGGGCCAGGGGCCAAGGTGCAGGGAGCAGACTCCTGGGGACGCTCAGCATCTCTGTCACCTGAGGAAGAGCATGGAGTGAGGCTGGCACGGGGCGAGAGGCAGGCTGAGGGCCAAGGGGCCTGGCCGACACGGAACAGCCTGAGCTGCCGCCTTCACGGGCTCCCTCCCTGGGGCTCCTCCCCTGGAGCTGGACAGCATGTCCTGTCCCTCCTTTGGGCAGTGACCTCCCACATGCAGAGGCAGCAGGCAGAGGGCTCCCAGGACTCCAGGTCAAGGCAACCAGGGGTTCAGGACTTGATAAACCACTAAGACCCAGGCATCAAAAATGCTGGGTCTTTTGTGCATTTCTTCCTTGACTCTATGAGATAAGTATTTAAAAACCCATTGTATTGATGAAGTCACAGAGGCAGAAGCAGGATTTAACCCAAAGTCTGTCTGGCTCCAGCACAATACAATGGGACCCCTTAATGACACCCATGGAACCAATAATGACCTTTGTCCCTACTCCAGATCCCAAAGTCTCCCAACCACACAGTTTCTCAGGCCCCCATACTGGGTCTCACCTCTATCCTGGGAGATAAGAGGCACCTGGGGCCATGAGGGACAAGCTTCTGTCCGTGAGCTCTCAGGGCTGGGCAGGGCCTGTTGAGAGAGGGCCAGGCATCTCCAAGAGCCCTGGAGGCACTGAGAGGTGAACGGGGAGGCCAGGCAGGGAGAAGGGAAGGGAAGAATGACTATGAGTACGTAGAGCCCTCCCTCCCTGCTGCCCTCCCACCTAGACTACAGGGCCCCGGTCTGCATTCAGAAGAGGAAGCCTGGATGGGAGAGGACCCACATCCTAGGAGTGTTGGTGTCGGGCACTGGAAATCATTGGGTTCACATCCCTCTTTTACAGATGGAGAAGGGGAGGCCCAGAGAGGAAAAGCGACTTGCCCAAGGTTGCACAGGATGTGTGGCAGGGCTAGGTTCAGATCCGACTTGTCCTATTTCCCAGGTCAACACTTTGTCCACACTGGATGCTGCAGGTGGGGCAGGGCCAAGGCTGTCTCCCGGAGAGGACTTAGAGAGAGAGAAGAAAAGGAGAGGGGACAGGTTTGACCAAGGGAAACCGTTCCCAGGGCCTTTCCGACACCCCACGAGGCCTCGTCTTCCGGTCTTTTCTGCCCCCGTCCACCTCCCTCCACGGTCCACCCAGATGGCCCTGCCTCCTGCAGTACCAGCCCAAGGAGGAGCTGTGTTATAGGGAGGGTGACAGCCCCGGCACTGGGCTGGGCTCTGCCATCCCAGATGGCAGCAAACTGCCAGCTCCGAGGACGAGGCTCCCAGGCTTCCCTCTGAGGACGCCAAGGGCCCTAAGGCAGGAAGGTCCCAAGAATGCACTTCCACAGGAGACAGCCACCACCGCCCCACAATGGTACCCCAGCCTGGGTGGAGGAGACCCCAACAGGACTCAGCAGCCCCTCTGAACTGGGGTCAGGTGAGAGAGCTGCTCTGGTTAACAGCTCTTCTCCATTGTTCCCTGGGATCAGAGAGATTAGCAAGTTACAGCTCTCCTCTGCCACCTTGAGATTCCTTATCTCTTAAGCAAAGGCCTCCCTGGGAAGACTGTGCTCCTTGTTGTCTCACACAACTTGTCCTAGTTGATATCCAGGGCCTCTGCCATTGTCGTATGGGCCTGATCTACTGACACTGGCAGCAGGGGGAATGAAAGATGGTGAGCTAAAAGTAACAAAATGCTGAAATCTCTCAAGAAAGGAGAGGACGGGACTCTTAAAATAGACATCTCCCCATTAGGGCAGGTGACCCCTGCCCTGTTACAGTCAGGAATGTCTTGGAAGTGGGAGGGGTGGAGTCTGAGAATGGCCTGGAACACGCCGCAACTGCAGGAGCTGTTCGTTCTCCAAATGTGTCCAAGTGTGCCCCAGGGAGCTGGTGAGATGGCGACATCTCTGGACCTAATTGCCATCATGTTCAATTGACACCATGGCATCCATAAAATTTCCTATAATTCTGAAGGCCACACTCATCCTGCTTTTTGCTGTATTACTCCAGGATCCCAAAAGGCCCTAGCATCCAAAAACAGTGTTCTGGGCCTGGTGACCGCAGAGGAAGGCCCTTCCTTCTGTGTCCCCATGCACAGCCCTAGTTGGCCCCCAGGGCTCAGCTTACCTCACTCTCCCCCTGGCCAGGAGGTGCTGCAAAAGCCCCGTCAGTGGCGTCCACTGTGGCCCAGGAGAAGTGCGGTCTGTAGATGGGCACAGGGAACGGAGGGGTGGTGGACCTGCTGGAATCAGCTGTGCCGTCCTCTAAACCCGGCTCACTTCCCAGCTCCCAGGGCACCCTGCCTCCTGGGAGGGGAGGCTCCAGGGTCTGTGGGCTCTGGGGCCCAGTCCTCACATCTGCTGGGGAGACTGGGAACCCCCAGGAAAAGTGCTCTTCGGAAGCACTGGTGTCCGAGCAAGGGCTGTCCAGGAAGAGGGGGTTGTCGAAGAACACGCTCTCCTCCTCAGGACCCCACTCCGGGGAAGAGTCTGGGGCTCCCTTCCCCAGCCACACAGGGTTCTGGTTCTCCCCTTCAGGCCCACTGCTGTCTTCCCCCAAGGCGTCCTCCACGGGGAGGCTGGGGCGGAGGCCCGAATCCCGGGGGCCCGCAGGGCTGGAGGGGAAAGTGGGGAGGTCTGCAGGGGCTGGGGGGAGGCAGCATCTTAGCTCGGCCTTGAGCCCCTCTGTCTTCTCCAGCTCCTCCTCGAGGTCCAGGACGCACATCTGGGCCTGCAGGATGCCCGCCCAGAACACCACCTGGGTGGATGTGCTCTGGCTCTGCCTCGGGTCCCCCTGGGAAGAGCCGCTCCCCAGGTGTGTGGGTTCTGCGCTGGAGCCCCTGGGAGAAGCATCTCGCCTTGTGCAATCAGGAGGGTCAGAAGCACAGGTCTGTTCCCCGCAAGGTTTCAGAGGGTCAGGACTGCCGCATGTTTCCCTCAGGTGTGCTCCGGGGTGAGGCTGCAGTTGATCTCCCAAATAGATGTTGAGAAATTCCACAGGTTCGGGGTGTTCAGAGAGTCTGTCGTCACCCATCATCCACAGAGTGCAAGGTGCGCGGGAGCCCCCAGCAGTGTCCGCCTTCACAATCCCATTGTGTGGATCAGGGGGAGTGCTGGCCAGGGCGGGCAACTGGGAATCCACATCTACCCTGGAAGTGCCCAAAGCAAGCGCAGGTTAGCAGAGGGCTGTCAGCCCCCGGAAGCACCTGTCTAGCGTGTCGGATGGGTCCTGGAGTGCTGGCCACACCCATGGCCCCGGCTAAGGGACGGTGCCCTGCCGGGGGTGAGGGGGCACCATATACGCCACCTGACCCCACAATCTCGATGGCTTGCACCAGGGCAGCACCTGCTCCAAAGACATCCCTAGGTTGGCTGATGGTGGCCAGAGCGGCTTAGCTGAAAAAGATGAACTGGACAAACCAGATCCTTCTCTTGGGAATTTGGATTGGAGAACGGAGAGACTGAGGTGGTTGGCAGCAGAAACAGAAGATGAAAATGCCTCAAAATAGTGTGAAAACAGAGCCAAAGACGACACGTAAACCAAAGTATGTGGGAGCCAAACAGACACAGGCTGGAGTCGAGGAGAAGGGAACAGTCGTAGGAGTCGCAGGGGCCCAGGAAAGAAAGGCCACAGCCTGCCCTGTTTCCACTTCCCACCGCTCCTGTCTCTGTGGCCTGCATCCGTCACAAGGCGAGCGGCCGGTTCTCATTTACAGCCATGCAACTTGGCCCAGGTAGAAGCAGGCAGGGGGCACCCCACTAAGCTCGGCCTGGGCTCCTGGAGAGGACAATTCAGACCACCCGGCAGACCACCTGCCTTCTGGGGAGGCGGAGGCTGGGGACGTGTGGCTGTGTCCACCTGGGGCTGCAGCACATCTCCTCAGAGCTGCCCTGTGCATCGGCCACTCTGGACCACCACAGCACTCTGGTAGGGCCTCACTGGATGCAGTGGAATCTTGCAGGGTATGTTCTAGAAGCATGATTCTCCATCCCCTGCGTGGATCCCACATTATATGGCTCTCAGGGTGGCCGTGCTTCTTCAGAACAACTGGCTTGTTTCGATCCAGTGGACACAGTGAACTTGTAACCTGACCTGTTTCCTTCTTGGTACCGGCTCTTGGGAAGTGCAGGGTTAAGTACACAGGCCCTGATGACACGCATTTCCAGGATTAAACGCACCCCTGGCTTCGTCACATCTTTTCTTATTTTCCCTTCGCCTCACTTTCCTCACTCACGTATTTCTATCTTGAAGACTGTGTGTGTGCTTACAAGCTGTACTGAAATATTTCGGGGAACAAAGGTATAAATAAACACACACACCCTCACACACACATGCTCTCAACTTGTAACCACGTGTGACATCCACATACCCACCGCTCCCCTACTTTATGGCCCACCATTAGTCACTCAACAAATGGGAGCCCTTGGAGCTGAAAAACCAAGGTCAGGTGGCACCCCACAATAAAGGTCACCTAGAAAACATGGCTTGGCACTGTGCCTTCTTTCAGGAGGGTGCCTGAGAGAGATGACACAGGACCATGACGAATTTCAGTTTCTCATTCCTCTTGAAAGCACCCTCCTAAAACCCCCTCAAAAACAGAATCCCTTATGAGATTTTACCTCTCCTCTCTCCCTACCCCCACATCCCCCACTGTAGCGTAGCAAGAATCTGTAATTGCTGAACTATGGCCTCATGATTCTGAAGTTTTAGCACCAGTCCCCAACCGCCGCCATCCAGCCTTCAGGGCCCATCTATCCCTGAGTTCTCAGTCGGCCTCCCCAGGGGACTGTGACTTCCCTAAGGATGGGCCATTTCTTATTTTTGATCTTGTACTCGCTGCTCTAAATCAAATTGATTGGAACTGGTCTTGCCTTTCACTCTTCTCCTATGGGACCCCAACTATTTTAGCTCATCACTCTAGGTCCCATGTCTCCACCCCACACCCTGCCCCAGGTTGAGGATTCATATGGCTTGCTCCCTAAGTTCTCAGCTGGCCCGAGGGACAATACCTGGCTACCTTGTTCCCCTTAAACAGCTGCCCATTTTCTACTCTCCGTCCTCTCTGGGTAAGAGACCTGCTATAGTTCTACTTCCAAGGCGGGGAGATGAGCAAACCTCAGGACCCACTGTCTAGACTCGGGCAACCCCTTGGATCCACACCTCCCTCCCTAGGCCTGCCTGGAGAATGGCCAAGTGTGAGTAAGGAGGTGACACACCCCACCACTACAGCCTTCTCAAGCAACCAGCCCACAGCGTACAGGAAACACTGGGGAGACAGCTCCATCTAGGAGATAGAGGGCAGAGGGGAGGAAAAGCACATAGTTTATAGTGACCTGAACACGGGGCTCCCCCAGCTCCCTTTCCAGACCCCGAGGCCGACCTCCCTTGTCCCCTCCCTCCCTGCCGAGGCCTGGTCTATTTGTGCCCAGCTGGCTCCCCTCCCGAGACCCCTTCTCTGGTCCTCAACCCTCCACACCCCGACACATTGTGTCTGAATGTGCTGGCCTCAGGAACACGGCCCGGTGGGCATCAGAGCATTCTGCCTGATGACATTAACTCTGCTACTCTCATAAGTGACCTCACTTGATGGGAAAAGTTCAAATGCCAATAGTGGGAATGGGAATAGTGGGCAGAGGCCAGTGGAAAGGATGTTCTGCAGTTTTTATAAGACAGGAGCCCCACATGTCCCTCTCTGCACATTTGTATTTATAAATAAACAGCATACGAAATAAAGCAGCCACACAGGTAAATGTTAATGACTCTGCTAGACATAAACGAGTACCGGATGTGTCTTCCCAGAGGACACCGGGTTTTCCTCGATGGATTCAAAGGGGACAAAAAAATCAGAGAAGCTGTAGCAGCTTTCCAGAGACCAAAGAGAAGAGAGCAGGTTTCTGGGGCCTGAGGGAGGTGGGGTGGGCACTGGGAATGGAGGCGTGGAATGGAGACAGACAGACAGATGGACAGCATTTGGCGGGGGAGGACGTACGCGGTTTGACTGCGCCATGACTCTGAACGAATGAAACTCAACCTGGCTACACTCCATCCTTCACTCTCTGATTTCAGAGCATTATCCCGATGTGTACCTTCTAGTGTGTTCACTCACATGGTCTAGTTTGCCTCCTTCCCAGAATGTAAGTGCCAAGAAAGCCGGTTCCTTGTGCTCCTTGCTCACCGCTGTCTCACCATGGAAATGGTGAAGGACTGAATCCCTCTAGTGACTGACTGTGTTACACCCACTCCCAACTACAAAGTTCTGGGGGGCAGAGCATTATGCCTTCATTCAAGTAGATTGGACAGTTACAGGTTAGCGTCGACTCAAGAAGTTCAGGACCACCTGTGAGACACGTAGGGTTATGGAGCCTGGTGGGAGGGGCTCCTGGTTCCAGTCAAGTGGTTCCACATGGGGGCACACAACGTCATGGTAGGGTTGCCATATTTAATAAATAAATATATATTTGGGACATACTTATACTAAAAATGTACGTTTATCTGAAATTCAAATGTAACTGGACATTCTATATTTTATCTGGCAACCCAATCCCAGGGGGAAGGTGTAAAGAAGGTACCAAGCCCAGCAAAATGCCAGTTATCAGCTCAGTGCTCTACAGCCATGAGCTCATCTGTCTTGCCAGCCACGCCATGAATGAGACAAGTGGTAACATCTCCTTCCTACTGATATAGAAGCTAAGGCTCAGCGAGTTTCAGAAATGCACCCAGGAAGCTCAGCTAGTCAGGGCGGGAGCTGGGGTCTGAATGCAGGTCTGCAGCTCTCTTAGGCATCACTCTCTTCCCACCCACAAATCAATTCCCTTGGACATTCATGAATTCCCTTGGGAGGCAGAGAGTCAATCGAATTTACCTTTTTCCATCGTTCAGTGCAGTGTTTGCTTGGCAAACATTCTGGAGGTGGCACTCCAGAAATGTTTGTGAAAATAAGAGGAAAGATGGATGGAGGGAGGGAGGGATGAACAGATGGATACATGGAGGGAGGGATGAACGGAGGGAGGGAGGGATGTATGGGATGGATCCTCAGAAAGCCTCCTCCTCAACAAGCTGACTAGAGGACTGGGGAGACTGAGGCTTGGAGAAAGAGTTAGCATCCTTTTGACCTTATGACTTTCTCCTGAGGGCCAGTCTGCCCATAAACCAATCACATCTTCCAGGAAGCCCAGGACCCTAAGGGCAGAGCTTTCCCAGAGGTAGGCTCCTGCCAGGCCAGCAGCCAAAATGCTCACATGGGTCCCGGCTCCCAGGCAGCAGCTGGACAGAGAGGCGAGACTTGAGGAGGACTCATTCAGTCACCTTGTTTGTGCTCTCCACTTGTGGAAGGGACACTGTGTAAGTGCGTGTTTAAGAAGTTTCTCTCTCTCTCTCTCTCTCTCTCTTCTATTGCTCCTCCCTGAATGGAGAGGTAGGATGACCTGAGGGGTGAGGTCCCTTCTTATGGCCATCAAGGCAGCCCCCTGGTCACCTGGGTGAGGGCGGCCTGACCTAGCGAGGGTCAAGGGTGGAGACCAGCCTCTGTTTCCTGGAGGTAGGACAGCACCTCCTAGGCACAAGTGGGCTAGGAACTGGGGAGCAGAGCCCAGGTCTTATGCATCTAGAATTTTCTTAGTTTACTTTTATTCACCCCTAGTACTTAGTGAAATCTCTTCTGACATTGCCTGTCTCAGGTATCCTAACAGAACAAGGAGGGAGAGGGTCTCTGCCACGTGCCTTGTAAGGTGGGTTTGGTTACCTCTAAAATAAAGTGGACCTTCATTCTTCTAAGCACTCTGATGGCTCAGGAAGCTTAAGAACAAGTCCTGGGAGAAGTGGAACTGGCTCTTCTGAATCCAAGAAAATGCTCTGAGCTCCATGCGGGGATGGGGGGAACGAGGAGGGAGCTGAGGTCAGGGGGGCGGGGGGGGGGGGGGGGGGGGGCTCGGCTCCCCGCCTTGAGCACAGCTGACTCTCTCAGGGAATTTCCACCCCAAGAGGGCTTCTTGCAAAGAACACAGCAGGGGCTGAGCCTGCGTCCAGCTGATGGGAGGTAAAGGCCACAAGAACTGCCGGCTGGGGACCAGGAGGACACAAGTCCCCCCCCTCCACCTCGACCCCACCCTGGGCTGCGACGTGACTTTTACTTCTTGGGGCAGGAAGGCGTGCATTTGGCTCCTGGATTGTACTTTCTGAGAGTGGATTTGCTTTTCACCCCACCTTGGGCACACAGCCTTGTGCTCTGAGCTGGGGAGGCCACAAGAGGCAGGGGAGAGCCTGCTCTGAGGAAAGAGGTGACAGCCTGGGGCTTCTGGCACCACCCGCACCCGGAGGCTCACGGACACGACTCAAATCCTAACTACAACTGAGGGGCCACTGACTCTGATCAAACACTTCACCCGGTTCTTCATCTGTAAAATAAGGACACAAGAGGGAGTAAAGCTACTCTATGGGTTTGTTATAAAATGGGAATGGGTCTGAGCGCTAATGCGGGGCCTTGCCCCTGTTAGGTGCTCAGTAATACCATCTTCTGCCCAGTTTAACTTTGCTCTTTGCAGGTCCATCTAGAGAAGCCAAAAGAAACAGAAACAAAAATGCTCTCTGACGCAACAGGCTCAGCCCAGTGGGGACCCTCAGCTCTCAGCCTCCAGGAGGAGTCAGCCCCGAATCTCCCCTCTGGAACGTGTGTCTCTCTTCCTCTCTCTCCCTTTAAGCTTCCAGACTTAGCAAACATTCCTTCCTCTTGCCCTGGAAATTTTTTCCTTCCTATGGAAAAAGCAAAGGCTCCTGGCCTGTCCAGGGATTAAGGAGATGACCTGTCCTGTCCCTGGACAGCCCTGGGCAGGAACGGGATTAGGGATGTCATCCCTGAGGGCAGGAGCCAAGGATGGAGTTCCCCTGCCTGGAGCTGCAAACAGACAGCCCTGCCTGAACTTGGGGCTGGAGCACCGTGAGAGACATGACTAGGGGTGGCCCCACATCCTGCCCACACGGAAGGAGTCTTCATGCAAATGTGCACAGAGAGAGAAAGAAAGACAGAGAAAGAGAGAGAGATGCCAGTGCTGCTGAGGACCTGGTGGTGGGCTCAGCTGGGACTCAGGCAGGGAGAGAGAATGGAGAGGGCAGAGGGGATGGGGGCCAGAGAGGATGGGGGGCAGGGAGGATGGAGGCAGAGAGGATTGGAGTAGGGAGGATGGGGAGCAGAGAGGATGGGGGGAAGGGAAGTTGGGGGGCAGAGGGGATGGGGGTGCAGAAAGGATGGGAGACAGGGAGGATGGAGGCAGAGAGGATGGGGGATGGGGAGGATGAGGGGCAGAGAGGATGGGGGGCAGGGAGGATGGGAGGCAGGGAGGAGCAGAGAGGATGGGGAGCAGAGAGGATGGGGGAAGGGAGGTTAGGGGGCAGAGAGAATGGGGGTACAGAAAGGATGGGAGACAGGGAGAATGGAGGCAGAGAGGATAGGGGGCAAGGAGGATGGAGGGCAGAAAGGGGGGTAGGGAGGATGGGAGGCAGAGGGGATGGGGGGGGGGGGGGGGGGGGGGGGAGGCAGAGAG